GGCGAGGGATGGCGTGCATGCATCTGTGCATTCCAGCGTGGTTTGGGCCCATGCAAAATGCGGCTCGAAACTGGACAGGCGGGCATGTCTCAGAAAGGATGCCTGGCGAGACAAGGCCCCACGGGCGGCGGGATCTTTGCGCGTCGAGGCGACAAGATTGTACGACGCGCGGTCGCGTCTAGGCGCCTCTAGCACCAGTCACGGGCGAGCTCTTGGGGACCAACAAAAGGCACCACGGGCAGCCTGATTGGGGCGCGGGGCGATGACAGGCTGGGCTTGAATCCGTCAACGCCGACAGCGGCGCAGCGCCCAGCAGAGCCCAAGATGGTGGATCGTCATCCAACAATGCTGAGCGCTGATTTAACAGCACCTGGCTACGGCCATAGACCTAACATCAGCGTATTTCCGATACCCGATTGCCGCTCCAAATCGGCTTGGAGCGTTGGCGCGGCCCTTTTCGACATGTCGCGATGGACAGACAGGGTCCAGAGTGGTGGAGTGCGTGTGGGCCAGAGCTCGAGAGCCAGAGCTCGAGAGCCAGTCGAGCTTGGCAGCTGCACGCTGCGTGCTGCACGCTCAGGGATCGCCGTACGTTAGCATGGCGACGTTGCTCCCTTGCTCGCTCGGTGGTCGAGCTGAGGTGGCCAAGCATGTCCGTTGCACCAGCCCACGGGATGTAAGACGCCTTGGCAGCGCAGCCCGGCCAAAGTTGGCGCGCAGCCCCACCCACCCACACATGCACGCCCCCTCGAGACGCTCATGCGCGCCAACGTCCGTAAGCCCGCTACCCTCGTGCCGCTGCCTGGAGCTGGGCTCGGCATCGTTGGCCATGACGCATACACTTTTGTGTGCCGGCAAATAGAGTCGCTGCCGATCGAGCGCGCTTGTTGACAGCACTTGGTCACATGGAGCGGTAGAGGCGCTTGCCGTCGCTGCGTCGCCGTGCACACGGCATGCATCGAGGTGCACCTGGCGTTGCCAAATTCACATTCCCACCTTTGGGTTGTGCTTCCCGCTCGCGGCGGCATTGTTTGGTCTGCGCTGCACCTGGCCACCTTGGCGCCACTCAGCGTTGCACTTGGGCTCCTGTCAAAAGGGTCCGTGTCTCAGTCCGCCCTTGGGCCCCTACCGTGCCTTTCTTTTTTTGGGCCAACTTGAGGCTGGTGGTGGTTCAAAGACCCACATGCTAAGCCCCTACGTGTTGTGCACCTCATCGTCTCTTTTGCTTCCCTTCACCACCACGACTCTTGCTGGTGATCATCGCAGGCTCCCCCTCTTAAGCCGCGCATTCATCCGTCCATCCTATCGTATCGTCCACCGCTCGCCACGCATCGAGCTGCTTCTGGTGCTGTCGTCACGATGACTTCGGCAAGCATGCGCAGGCTGCCCATGCGGATGATGGAGCATCACGCGCCGCAGGACGAGAACGCCATGCCAGCAGCAGGGATGTGCGCCCTCCAGGCTGCCGCTTCCGTCTCGCCATCGCGCGTCACCAAGTCGGCGCACACCCGCTCGCCTAGCAAGATGCCCACGCTCAGCGACATCGCAGCCCGGCTCAACCTCGACAGGGATGCGGTCGCGCCCACCACGTCGCCAGCCAAGCAGCTGCTCGCCAGCCCCGCCGACGCAGCACGTCCCAGGCTCGAGCTCACGGGCAGAATCACGGGCTCTCCCAAGCCACTTCAGCTTGCCGACCGCAAGAGCCCGCTCATCGCCTCGCCCACCAAACTCGACAGCGATGCAGCAGTGTGTCTCTCACCCACGATCCCGTCGTCCGGTACGTGCTCGCCCACCAAGCGCATGCTCGCCAACGGCCTACCGAGTCTAGACGAGATTCGCGATCGCATGTCGCGAAAGGGCCTGTCGGTGACAGCAGAAGGCGGCAGCCCCAATCTGCCTTGTACGCCTCCCTCTCCCACCAAGCAGGCTTTCGATGCGAAGCCGAGCACCGCAGAGCCAGAGATTCAGCCGAAATGCAAGGTGGCGCCTAGCAAGCCGGCTCTCCAGCTCGCCACGCACACAGCGCCGCTGCACAAGCCGAGCGCGACGGTCGGCTCGAGCTCGGTGAGCGCCACCCAGTATCCGCTGCAGCACGAATGGACGCTGTTCTTTGACTCGCGTGCCGGCGGTCCGCCCACGCCGGGATTGGGGCCGGACGCTCCCCCTACCACACCCGTGCTGAGCACGTCGTCGTGGGAGGCGAGTCTGCGCACCATCGGCTCGTACGCAGCGGTGGAGACGATGCTCGGCTGCTTTTCCAAGCTGCATCGACCGTCGCAGCTGGAGCGCCATACGAGCTACCACGTGTTCAAGGACGGCATCAAGCCCATGTGGGAAGACGCACGCAATGCCAGGGGCGGCAAGTGGACCATCACCTTTCGTCAGCGCAATCCCGCGCTCGTCGATCGTACCTGGCTCTGGCTCGTTCTGGATCTGATCGGAGAGGAGCTGGACGGCGACGATGAGGCGTGTGGCGCGGTGTGCAGTGTCAAGCCGCGTGGCGATCGGATTGCACTCTGGCTGCGCGACCGCTCCGATACGGACAAGGTGAACCGCATGGGTAGGAAGCTCGTGGCGCTGCTCGAGATTGGCAAAGAGCCAGGGGTTCTGGTCGAATTTTCGGCCCACTCGACTCGAGATGACAAGCAGGAGGGACTGTTTAGCGTCAACAATGCCGTTCAGCAGCTGAGGACGCCGACGGTGACCACGTTCAATGCGGCAGCAGCAGGGCTTCCCGAAGCTCCGCATCGATTCGCCTCGGCCTCACCCACCGCTTTCGCCAGTCCGGCTTCGCCCAGCAGACCCGCTTTTCGTCCACCGCCCAGCCCGGGCGCAGACACTTCGAGCTCCGCTCACTTCGCTAGGCTCGCCGGCCAAGCAGGCTCGTCTGGCTCAGCCGCCATGTTCGGTCGCTCGCCCACCGGCGGCGGTGGCTTGGGATCACTCGGTCAGTCGCTCGGTCTCGGATTGGGGATTGGCGTTAGCAAGTCGCCCAGCCTCTCGCCGAATCCCAATGAGGCCAAGGGGAGCGACGCAGGTGCAGCCATGTCCTGGCGATCCAACCGCACCACCAGCCCCACTCGACAGTCAACCGCCTCGCCCTCCAAGGCCACATGATCCTCCCCATCCCAGCGCCCACGAACGCTCTTTTTGCTTTGCTCTCTTTCCACCCTCTTTTCTCGCACTCGCCTTCCACTCGCACTGCACTGTTCTCGCCCCTCTCTCTCTCTCTCTTCATCTCTGTACCGCACGCTCGTTGTTTGCTTTGGCTGCGTGCAAATTGATGCATTGACAGGCACACTAGCGTTTCGGGGGGGGG